AATACAAAAGTCATAAAATGTCCCATTAAAGAAGCATCACAACCTTATATCATTTTTATGTTTTAGTTTAGATTTACCAACACATTTTGACCAATATTTTAACAACTGCATAATGAATTTATCTGTGTACCGGGTGGCAGGCAGGATAAGCTTGTCCTGAGGGTGATGGTCAGGGGTCACAGCCGCTTCTCAGTTGGAACTGCTGGTGCGACCATGTGGAATTGGCTAGTCCTCCAGGAACGGCATCTTGAACAGCAATCCTTGAGTCATTTCAGAGGTTCATGGGCAAGATCAATCCAAGCCTGAATGTAAGGGAGCTGGTCAGGGTGTCCCAGATTTCCAAAGATGACTCTCTAGACTCGATAAGCAAAAGAAAGGTTAAAAGAGCTCTGCAGAGATCAAGCAGCCTAGGAGAAGGAGGGCCATTCCAATTCGGAGAAGGTCCAACATTTTCTGGGGGACGCAGAATCTCCGTACTCTGAGGCTCGTTGTCTGAAATCTTGGAAATTATTTAGAAAACATTACAGGGGCAACAAAGACACAGAAACAGAAGCACATTGACACACAGATATTAGACAAACTACAATCGGCCGAAACACACAAAAACAAAACAAAAACAGATCTGAGACTCCAAAAACAGATCCGAGACTCCGATCCGTCGTCATGGAGGGAGTCGAGTCCAGGGGCTATCGTTACGTCTAACACCACCTAGGACTCCCAGATGGGCACCCAAACAGAACAGATACAGATGTCTTACCGGTAAGAACTTACAAACGGCTCAGAGGTTCGAATGATGAAATTTCTAATTTTTCGGAGACCACTCTGGGGCCAGAAAGTCTCCCCAGAGAAATGGTTTTCGAAAACTCTGGTTCCTCAGATGGATCCCCGGTAAAGGGGATCCCGGACGAGCCCCCAAATGTTATGGGTCACTCAGAATAGAACCAGATCAGCCATGTTGGAATTTGGAAAGCCGTTTATTACTGAGCTCAGGGCCCCCCAGTCTGCTCTCACGCAGGAGAGGACCGAAAGGCCTCTTTTTGCTTTCTTTACATGTCACGTTTTGTTCTTAACATATTCAATATGTGTTAACATTTGATAAATCTTATGTTACTTTTTCCAGGAAACATCTCATTTACAACTATTGCCCCAGTATCTCCAAATGCACATTATAGTGGAAAAAGCTTTGGTAAGTCAAATTTTATCTCTTGCCTTCTTTCCCTCCTCTCTCTCTCTCCCTTCCTTTTGCCTTCCTTTCTGCCCTTCTTCCCCTTTTCTCTTACTGAAAGTTTCATCTTCATTTTCAATCCATAATAAATGTTTTCAGTATTTCCAAATAAAGACATTTTATGTGTGTTACATCAATAGTTATAAAGCATGTGAACCTTTTGCCTACCATTACAAGTAAAAGAACATGCCCCCCTGGAGCACCCTATGGGTCTGCCTCCTACCCCCACCCCAGCTCTGCTCCGTGTCTTTTCCTCATCCACTAGCAGCCTCGCCCTGCACTTTACGTGCTCCTGCCTTTCTAGCCACATTATTTCCTTTGTGCATAGACAGTTTTTAAATATCTTGTGCAAAACCCATTACTTGATGTTTTCTGTTTTCCAGAAAGCTTTAAACTTAATGCTTTGTTCAAATGCAACATTAATTTCCCACATAGCTAGCATTCAGTAGTAGTTTGATGGGTTTTGTTTATTTTTATTTAAAAATCTTTTTATTTCTTTATTTACTTGGTACAGGGTCTCACTACCCTCTTGGACTCGTAATGGTTCTCCTGTCTCAGCTTACCCAGCGCTGGGATTATAGGCGTTCAACACCAAGCCTGGTTTTGGTGGCCAGCATGGTGCTCAGGGTTCTGGGACTGGCATGGCATGCAGTAGCGGGGCTTGAACCCAGGTCCCTGTGCTTGTCAGGCAGGTGGTTAACCACTGAGCTATCTCCCCAGCTCCATTTTGATGTTTTTTTTTTTTCCTTGTAATTAGTACAGGGTCTACAGGGTCTCATTACGTAAGTTGAACTCATAGTGATCCTCCTGTTTTCAGCCTCCCAAGCTCTGGGACTACAGGCGAGTGCCACTATGCCTAGTTTCCTTCACCATCTCAGTGTACCCTGGGGGAGGGGCCAGCATAGCATGCCAGGGATCAAATGCTGGCTGTAGCGCTGTGCCTAAGCAGGCGCTTTAGTCTGCTGAGCTATCTGACCAGCCCTGATGGTCAGATAGTATTTTAAAACGTGGGGGCCGGGGAGGTGGCTTAGTGGAATAAGCGCTTCCCTGGCAAGTGCAAGGGCCTGAGTTCAATCCCCAGTTCCTAAAACAACAACAACAACAACAACAACAAAACCCCCAAACAAACAGTATTTTAGTATAGTCTTCTGGTCATCAGTGTACATTCAGCTTTTACATTAGTACTTAGTACTAAGGGATATGTCAACTACATTGTTGTAAATGAGGTTTCTGCTTTAAAGAACCGTATTTTGCTGGACAAGACAAATACGTGACAGGAGAATTCCAATGTGATGCATTATGTCCTTTAAAGGAAATATATTCAAAATGGTAGAATGTAGAAATATATAAGAATTATTATGAAAAAATTCAGAGAAAAGAGTTTTTTGATAAATATCTAGGATTATTAGATAGATGCAAGTGTGGGAATCAGATGCCAGAGTCTGAAAGACAACTCCTGCTGTTTCCACAATGATGAGCAGCGTGGTGTAGCTGTTCACGCAGCGCAAGATGCACAGGGTATAACTTGGCAGCGAGTAAGGCGGCTGCATTCAGCTGCAGGCAGGAGCTCGCACTTGACCTCACATGGAACCAGGATGTATGAAAGAATTTGCATGGGGAGTGGGAAGTAGAGGGCATCTGGACTGTAGATTTAAAGAGAGCTAGAATCATGCACACTAACTCACGACCCCGGAAGAAGGCAAGTACAGTGGGCTTTGGGGTTGATGGGTAGCAAAGAAGTCAGCTGCGTATCTTACACAGAGGTCTAAAGCTGAAAACCTAATTGTTAATAAAAACGTGTTTGAGAATTTATATAAAAACCTTGAGAGGAAAAAAAATCAATGACAGGAGCATAAAAACAGATCACTGAGAATAGAGCCACAGAAGCAATGGGCAGAAGATTGTTATAGTTGTCTGGAGCTCTATTGATAGCATTGGAAGGTTAGGTGGAAACTGACTCTCAAGAGTAATGAACAAGGATATCTCCCTAATATTGTGCACAGAGGTATAGATTGCATAATGCCAAAGGCACCTTGCTGTCACTTTTTATGTGCGTGCACTCCAAGATGGCCAAGCACGTGTCTGCTCTAAACATTCTCACCCTCGTGCCCCTTTCCATTCAGCATGTCCTCAACTTCAGCAGCATCTCTATTCATGTTGCTCATTTGTGAATGTCTTGGAAGGGGAATCACAGATTATCTGCTCTGTGGTATAAAAGTCTTTTCCTTTACACAGTATCTTGATGATTAATTCATATTATTGTCTGTAAGAGTGGTTTTTTCCTTAGTTAGAATAACAACTTGCAATTATGAATAAAATTGTGACTAACATTTTCTTGTATAACTTTTGGTAGGTAATTTTTCTTTTTACATATCTGTGTAGGAGTAGAATTATTGTGTTGTAGGGTACACACTAACTCAGGATGCTGTTGATAAATAGTTTCAAAAGTGATTTTGGCAATTTGTTCTGCCACCCAGAATGAACAAAAATGTCCAGTAGTTCCGCAGTGTCACAAATAACTAGGGCTAATAGTCTTATACTCTTAGTCATCTGCCATGTATAGTGATAATATATTTTGGGTTTTATGTGTATTTACCTAATAATTAATTAATTTCTCACTTGTTCATACTGCTGTTGACCATTTATATATTCGCTTTCAGAGTAAGTTTGTTTCCTCTCTAATATTTTTCTTCTAGCTTTGCAGGAATTCATTCTATATGGCAAATAAGATTTCTTTGTTAGATAGCTATATGAAGCTATAGTCTCCTACTCCGTGGCTTACTTTCATACATACTTACTGCTGCCTTTAGATAGAAACATGTTCATAATTATAATTAGTTTAAATCCTATTTATGAATTTTTACTAATTTTTAACTTAAGCAGTGTTTTATTAATTTAAGGACAGGACTATTTTTGTATACATTTTATTTTAGAAAATTTTCCTTTACCTTTTCAGTTTTTTGATCTACCTTTAATTGTTAAATCTGTATGCTGTGAGGTAGAAGTAAAGTTAGCAACTTATTTAAATTTAATTTTATAGTTGTTAATTATTATATTATCTATTTTCTTTTTATATTTATTATATACTTCTGCAGAGATTTATACATTTTTGTGACGTCAAAGAAATATGTTAATTGTGTTCTTCAGTTTTTCTATGTTTTCTGAACTAGTCCTCAGGTTCTGTCAGTTACAAAGAAAGTTGTGTTAATCTGTTAAATGAATATTGCAATTTCTTAAATTTTCTTTTTACTTGGGTTAATATTGCTTATCATGCTTTGATGATACCAGCCCCTACTGCTTAAGCATTGCTATCTTTTTATAAATTGACAAAGTTATCTTAAGAAATATACTTTTGGGACTAACAACACCATCTACAATGTCGTGACATTTAATGTAGGAAAGCATATTTGTATTATTTGATAAAATCTGAAGTATTCACAGATTGTCATGAATTAATAATTTTCTTATTTTTGTATTCCCTATCAGAAGCAATATCTTTTGTGCAAACTATTTTACCTAAAATATATTTAATTGTAAACTCAATGAAAATATATGATTAATTTTGCATTACCTCTTGTGTCAGCAATAATCGGTCACTGTGCATCCATTTTATTATTTATTGTAATTGTGAGTTATTAGCCATAAACACTCTTAAAGTTAAGCAGGAATCCTTATTTTCATCCTGTAAAGTTAGCAACTTTATTTTTTAAAATTTATTTGTTTTTTTATAGTCAGAACATATACTTCATAAAAACTAATTATGAAGTTTGCATATTTTGATAAGGATTGTATAACATATTTTTCAAATTAACAACTTTAATAATATTAAAATTTTTCCATTTGGGATTCCAAGGAAGCAAGGATCTACTAGGTCGTCAAATATGTGTCCATATTGTCTCATGCACTTGCTGAGCTCAGATGGAACTTCTTTTCTCTTTTTATATGTTATCTCATTTTATTCTTTATCAAACCATTTGTTGAAAACAATTTCTATATTTCCTCCTGTAGATATATTTTTGAATTTCAATTAAATTTTATTTATTTGTCATCTCCAAGCATGTAATGAGAGGCTCTTTTTATTTTAAATGTATTTGATGCAGGGTCACACTATGTAGCTAGAACTCATAGTGATCTCCTGTTTTCTGCCTCCCCAGCACTGGGATTACAGGCGTGTGCTACCAGCTCAGGCTCGGTGGTCAGCTTAGTGCACCTGGGGGTGGGGCCAGTGCGACATGAGTACCAGGGATACAACACCAGCCCTTGCGCTTGCCTAAGCATGTGCTTGCACTTAGTCGCTGAGCTGTCCTGTCAGCTCTGAGAGGCTCTTTGATTTCTCCTGTTTCATCAGAAATTTATTTTCTTCTTCTTCTTCTTTTTTTTTTTTTTTTTTGGTGGAACCGGGGATTGAATTCAGGCCCTTGAGCTTGCCAGGGAAGCGCTTATTCTACTGAGCCATCTCCCAAGCCTTCATCAAAAATTTCTAGCTGAAGGAAGTTCCTTTTAATAGAGAGAAATCTGTAGAATTAATTTAGTGCATCTTGAGTATTTCAATATTGTCTGCTTGAGACTATCTTTATTTTTTTTTTTTTGACTATCTTTAAAGTATATGGCAAGAATCTGTTTTAAATATGTTTTCCTTTTTATTAATTATGAAAGCTATCATGTTTATGTTAGTATTTTTTATACTGTTTGACAAATCTTAAGCTTTTCCTACTGGTATTGCCAAGATATCTGTATCATCTAAAAATTGTTATTGCTTGTATTTTTTAAAAGTTGGAATTTGTTTTCCAGTATGATTATATGGGACCTGAAATGGTGGCTTTAACACACAAAATTGTCCAGATTATTGGGCTTGTCAACACTGTAAGTTTTTTACTTATCTTTCTAGTTTTAAGAAAAATCATTGGAAATAATTTGCATATTTTAATATGACAAATGAATGACTTAAAGAGCTTTTGTTCCTTTAAGACTCAAACTTTTCCTTCATTGTATGTACTATTTTAATATGATGACAGCAGTTACTTGAAAACTATGAATCTTGTTTTTAGATGTTTACCCAGTTTAAATTGACTATTATACTGTCCTCCTTGGAACTGTGGTCAGATAAAAACCAAATTTCAACTGAAGGAGATGCTGATGATATATTACAAAGACTTTTGGCATGGAAAAGAGACTCTCTTGTCCAACGACCCCATGACATAGCATATTTACTTATGTAAGCATGATGTTCTTCAATAATAGATATATAGTACATTCAATTTAGTGTCCTTTTTTGTGTTAAATTTTCTGTAGGATTCTTTGACAATGTCTGTCTTTGAAATGTCTATTGTCAACCATCTGTCTGTCTATCTATCTGCCTATCATCTATCTATCTATCTATCTATCTATCTATCTATCTATCTATCTATCAATCATCTATTCAGAGATGACTTGGAAATGATAGTGCAGTGTGAAATATAATGAAAAACAATAGTAACTTATTTTATATCACTATATTTTAAACTATAATTATTGTGAAATTGTATTTCATGAACTTTTAGGATGTTTACTATAAAACATAATTTTTCACTTATTTCTAATACAAAACTACAGTAGTTAGCATCGCATCAATGTTTTTCATGTCTGTATTTTGACTAAGAAATATTTTTTTCTGAAAATTTAATTTTAAGCAAATATTTAGGAATAGTAGGATTATTTTTTCACAAATTAGAAGTCACTATTTTAACTTTTAGTTGAGTAAAACAGTCAATGGATCATGAAGGGAACTAAGTTGAACTTGAGAGATAATAAAATTATATCAAAAATTAAAGAGTTAGATGAGGAAAGAAAGTTTGTCATTAAAATAAATTCTTAATATTTTGTATAACTTATTAGGCATTATCAATTTGTAACTTTATGTATTTACAAAGTCATTTTCCAAAATTTAGGAAAGGAGATTTAATTTAAATCTTTTATTTTTATTTTTATTTTTATTTATTTATTTGGTACAGGGTCTGGCTATGCAGCTCAGACTTGTAGTGATCCTCCTGTCTCAGCCCTGCCCCAACACCCAGCACTGGGATTACAGGGGCATGCCACAACGCCTAGTTTTGGTGGACTGCACCACGGTGTGGGCCCGCACAGCATGTGGTACTGTGGGTGAACCCCTGTCCTTGCGCTTGCTAGGCAGGTACTTAGACCACTGAGCTATCTCCCCAGCCCAGGAGATTTAATTTAATATATGGTTATAAAATGTTTTCAATAACTATATGAATAAAAAGTCTATAATATAATGCTGTAGTTACAGGAAACACCCTCAGTATATGGGAGCAACATTTCCGGGCAGAATATGCAACAAAAAATACAATGCAGGTATTGTGATGGTATGCATTTTTGTGTCATTCTTTATATTAGTAGTTTAATGTTGTATTTTATAAATACTAATATAAGCAAATAGCTCTTAACTACTGACCTTTTTTTTCTGTACTTGGAATCAAACTCAGGTTCTTGCCCTTGCTGGGCAGACACTTGTGCTACTGAGCTATATACCCGGCGTGGACTTTTCTGTATGTGATATTCATTATTACTTTATAATAAAACTATTAGAATTTTTAAAAAGTGTTAGAGAAGTACATATATCTCAAATGTAAGAAATACAATGCAAACATGAGTACACTCATAATACCAATTAGTCATTATGCTTACAAAACTCCCTGGATTTTTTTTAAGTAAATCAAACAATAGGGGAACAATGAATTTCAAGAAGTTGCAAGAATCATTAATTTATGATTGCTATTTCTTTATGCATTTTCAAGTGTATTTACCCGTATGTAATATATATTATATTTCTGTGCTCTTCTTATTTTATGAATTACTTTAAAATTATTTTTAAACATTCTTAGAGGTGTACATGTGGTCACATAATGAATGCAATACTTTTACAATCAAATTTATTTCTGACAAATAGCTCATTTATACTTACAAATACAGAAGCACTTTTTTGTGTTGCAAGACCAATACTGAAACAGCCCAGTCACTTGAATAATGTACACTCCTTAAGTCCTGCTCCAGTTTTTAAAAACTTGCTCTCCCAATCATAGAACTCTGTACCCATTTATCTTTGAAGTTTCATAGAAACATATAAGGAAGAGGAAAAATTATATCATGAAATTGTGCAGAACAATTTTTACTAAGTCAATGCATAGGTGTAACTACCACAAATATCAAGAAATCAAAAATCATCAATATTTACTTATTTATTTATTTATTTATTATTTTTCCTCCTCCCATCTGTTGCCTGTAACAGTGGCAATTACTATCCTGATAACTGTCCCCATTGATTAGTTTGACCCCTTCTTGACCTTTTATTACATCTGCCTGATTAGGTACAAGATTATGCATAGAAATCATCCAATTTTTATAACTCTGGGAATAACTTATTCATTGTTTTACTCTGTATCTCTCAAGAATATAGCCATAAAATTTCTTGAGTATTCAAGTTCAGGGTTTTCTACATTAGCGACCTAGTAGCCAATCACATCTATGCCCGCCTCCTGCACCTTTCCTCTATGACTTTACAACACACAGGCAATGTATTCTTTTTTCTTTTTCTTTAGTGTATTTAGTACAGGGTATACAGGGTCTCACTAGGTAGATTGGATTCATAGTGATTCTCCTGTTTTCTGCTTCCCAAGAAAACTGGGCTTACAGGTGCGCGCCACCACGCCCAGTCTCTATCGCCTTCTCAGAGTGCCCTGAGGGCAGGGCCCGCATGGCCTGCCAGAAGGCCTTGTGTTCTACTCTGTAATGTATCAAATACAAGACTAGCCCTAAGTTACCCTGATTCTTATAACATTTGGTTCTTCCTGAATTTAATAATTGCATCACATTTAGTTTGTCCAAATTCTCAAATTCTTCAGCAGCACATACACACATTCTTCAATTATTTATACTTTTCAACATTTTTTGGAAGTTCTTCTTTTCTATTTTGGAGGACTTATCTTTCTTACCACTCTATTTTAGACCGGATGGATATTGTACAATTTTTCATCCTGTCTCAAGTTGGAATATGTACATTTCTCTTTCATGGTTTGCTATTTTGATAGAAAACATGTTATAACTTATTGAGAAAGACTAACAAGAAACAAATTTTATGAGAGCTGTGTGATAGAAAATGAAATTAATTCTTTAAAAATTTCATTAATTTTAGTTTATAATATACCTTAAAAATTTAAAGTCTCCTTCATGGTCTTCTAGCATATCTTTGAAAATTGAAGGCTATTCTTATTTTTGTTCATGTATATATTGTTTGCTTGTTTTCTGTGTAGATATACTTAAGAAGCTTGTATCTGCTCTAGGTGTCTTTTGTCATTAAATATTCTGGATATAATATAGCCCCTTCTGTGTGATGGAGAATTAACTTCTTCCCTGAAAAAGTAACTGTGTTATGTATTTTTGTTTCTATTTTATCTCTCTAGTACTATGTTATTAACTTAGAAACCCGAAGGGTAAGAAAGGAGCAAAACAGAAGATAATTAAGAAATAGGAAGAACTTGGTTCGAATGGGATGGGGAACAAGGGAAGAACAAAGGGAGAATGGATTAACATGAGAGAGTGGAAGGAAAACAGTGGAAACAGCTTTTGTAAATGGAAAGAGGAAGAGGGCTAAGGGAAGGGGAGGGAAGTGGAAAAAATTAATTAAGATGTATGATGGATAGATACAAATTCCCTAGGATGAATGTGATCATTATGTATGGCCGATGTGTACTAACAAAAACTGAAAAAAATATATCAGACAGCTGTAGTTGCATAAATGTGTTTCTCTGTCCCCTATTTCAGGGGTGGTCAACCCCAGGGTCACAGGCACACACGGGTCAGGATGTGAAGATCTGTCTTCTGCTTGATCTAGCTTATTGGTGAAGATTTTCACTGAGATTTTAATGGACTTACTGAGCTTTTAATTTCCAAGCTTTCTGATTTTTTTCTTTTCAGAATCTCTCCTTTTGTTAAATGCATTCTCCTACCCTGAAGTTTCTTTCTTAATTAGTTCAGTTTTTTATTTATCTCCTCTTTGAATGCATTGATAAATTTTATATTCATTGTTTTGAATTATTTAGTATTTCCTTCTCTTTGATTAACCGTAGAATTAGTTACAGCGAAAGTAGAAGTATTAACTTTTGGAGGCATCATGTTGCCTAACTTTTTGTTTCTTATATTTATGTGTTGAGATTTGTGCATTTATTAGGTTGGATATATCTTGTACTTTTACATGAGGATCATTTTGGAGACAGTTATGTTTTGGTGATGTGTACTGATATCCTGGATTGTTGCGGGATGCTGAATGTATTTTCAAGTGTATTTCGTAATTCAGTTTCTCTGTTACTTTTTTGGTGGTGATAAGTATATTTTGACACAGTGCACTCTTTGTCAGAATTTGAGGGTCTCACAGCAGTGGGGTCCTTCTATTATCTCTGGGGCACACCTTCTCTGATTATCCCTCTAGTCTTGTCAAAAATGCGTTTTCTTTTTCTTTTTATTAAAATCATTTATTTACTTATGTGTTTGGCATGGGGTCTTGGTGACTGGCATGGCCTGCGGTACTGGGGATCAAACCTGGGTCCTTGCATTTGCCAGGCAAGTGCTTAGAAAGCTGAGCTATCTCCCCAGCCTCAGGAATGCTTATTCTGGAGGAGTGTAGGAATGGACTTTGCTGAACTCCTTGTGGGTGTGGGGTCCACAGTCCTTGCATAATTCTTCTCTCTGCTCTTGCCATCTCTATGGATGTCCAGGAGCAGGACTTTGGGGCTCCCCTCACTGGACCTGGTTATTGATTGGGAGTTTTAACACCCCTAGTTTTGAAAGAAAGTTGAGTGGGACAGAGGATGCATGTGCCAAGATCTGCTGCTTCCTATCTGTACTCAGAGTGAACCGCAGTCACTCAGTGTCTAACCGAAGTACTTAATGTGTTGTCCTGAGTCCCTAATACCATATAGAAAGGTGTAGGGAGTAACAGTACCAACATTTAAACAGCAGCAATCTGAGTAGGCCACTGGGATTGAGCAGAAATTAAAACTACAGAATCCACAATCCTAATAAGAACAACAGGAAGAGTAAGTCCAGCAATCATGAGCTAAACTGTTTTATAAGATTATAAAAATATAGTTAAAAGTAAAGAAAATAGAATGAGGGAAGCAAAAGATACAAAGTGACAAGAAAAGTAGAAATTAAAGCCCCCCCTCACCAAATGGAGATTTTTAGCTCAGTGTCAGAGCGTCCTTATCTTTGAACCCCAGTACCACACACACACGCACATGCAATGCCAAAAACAAAATAGAGAAGAATAAAGAAATGAAGTTGAAAGTAACAACAAAAGAGAGTAAATAAAATAATTTGACTTAATAGGAATAGCAAAAGAATAACAAAAACTATTAAAAGAAAAAAATATATGTCTATGCATGTATATACACATACATACATACCTACAGAGGAAATCAGCTAACAGAATCTTGGTTTTTTTAAAAATGTATTTGGTACAGGATCTCATTACACATTTCAGACTCCTAGTGATTTTCCTATTTTCAGCCTCCTCAGTGCTGGGATTACAGATGTGCGCCCCCATGCCCAGTCTTGGTGGCCGGCTCAGTGAGCCTGGGGATGGGCCCAGCATGGCATGTGGTACCAGGGATAGAACTCTGGTCCCTGTGTTTGCCTAAGTAGGCATTTAGTCTGCTGAGTTATCTCACTGGCACTAGCTAACAGAATCTTCATAAAGAATGGAAGTACTATCTCCCTTGGGGAGGTCAAACATATGAAGGGGGATGGGACCTCATACCTGTGCCCATCTGCACTGCTTGCCCTGCCTTCTTAGGCTGTGCGCCCTCAGGGAGGGCATAGTTGGGGGCTCTCCTGTGCAGATTGCTGCAGGCCTGGAATTAGAACCTGATGGCCGTGACTGTCAGCTCTCTATTCTTTAATACAAGGTTTCTTGGATGTGAAGTCTCTTGGTGGGAGGCTGCAGTGGACTGAAGAATTCCATGCACTGTCAAGGTCATGCTGTGCTGAGCTCTGGGCCTCTGTGCCCCTGAGACACCCACTCAGAAGGCACACTTCCCTGTGCCCTGGATGAGGAGTACTCAGGCCCCACACCATGCACTACCCACTACCCCATCCTCCTGCCCAATCTTGTGTCTGCTCAGTATCCAGAGCAGGAGTCTCTAGTCTCAAAGACGGGGGGAGCTCTACCCTCCCAACATTTCATCTAGACTCTCACGTGTTCTTCAGTGGACCTGTTTCAGCCACTTCAGCCAGAACCATACTTGGTGTTAGGTGGGGGCAGCATGACATTCTCCGTAGCAATTTCTTGGGGAAGGGAAAGCAGAGAGACTTGCGCTTGCTGAGCAGGCCTCTCTGGACAGCTTCTTGCCCTGAACGAGGCTTGAACACTGTGAAAGCAACTCTCACAGTCCTAGAACTCCAGGCTTGTCTAGCATTTTGGTGACTCCTTAATCCCAGCATTTATCAGGCTGAGGCAGGAGGATCAGGAGTTTGATGCTAGCATAGACAGTCTAAGACCAGCCTGGAATAAATGGTGAGACCCTGGCAAAGTAACAGTGCAGTGAGCTGAGGAACTCCCAGTAAAAAGCAAGCTTCTGTAGGTGGGAAGCAGTGGCCTCTTCCCACTCACCGCCAGTGGTCACACATGCAAGGGCATCTGAGAGGCAGGCATCGTGGCAGGATTCCTCACGTTGACTGCTGGGCCTTGGCCTTCTTGTCTGCTCCTCAGACTTGCTAGGTCAACAGCAGCTGGTCTTTGGCATAGCAGCTGTCTCCCCACCAGTCCTACCATTAGTTATTTAAATAAGTTTCCCTACCTGCCCATTCTCCTTTGGTACTCCATAGAATGCATATTGGTTCATGTGCTCACTTCCGTAAGTCCTGTAGGTTTCTCTTTTTTTTTCTTCTTTTTTTATTTTTTATTTCTGTGTGTGTGTGTGTGTGTGTGTGTGTGTGTGTGTGTGTGTGTGTGTGGCCAGCTCAGCCCACCAGGGGGGCTGGCTGGCATGTGGTGCTGGGGGATTGAACCGCGGTCCCTGTGCTTTGCTAAGCTTGTTCTAAGTAGGTGCTTTAGACCACTGACCCATCTCACCAGCCCCACCTGTAGGTTTCTCTTGATTTTCTCCTTTTATTCTTCCAACTGGAGAATTTCCAGTGACATATTTTCAAACTGTTTCTTCAGTTTGGTTGAAAATACTACTGAAACTATTGAATTTTCGAAATCAGTCATTCTGCTCTTTGGCTCCAGCATTTCTGTTTGGTTCTTTAACAATCCCTATTTCTTTATAAACTGCAAAATACATTTTATGCATATATTGTGTCCTTGATCTTGTTAGCTTCACTTCTTATGAAAAACCTTGAGTGTTTATTTTGAACTCTTTGTCAAGAAGTTTAGGACTCTATGTCCTTTGGTCCTTACTCACTGGAGACTTGCTGGTTTTCTTTGCTGATGTCATATTTACCTATTTTTTGTGGTCTGCTCTGCCTTGCACGGGTTATTCCACATATGAAGCAGTGGTCACCCATTCAGTGTTGATGGACTTGCTGCAGCAGAGAAAACCTTCACCTGGGGCCTGGGTAGAGATTCTAGAGAACTCACTGACCATTCTTGTTTGCATGTGCTCCTCTCAGCTTGTGTCTCCTGTCCATCTACCCAGTGGAATGCTCCCTCTATTTTCCTATAACTGTTGCACCAAGAAGCCAGGACATGAGCGTGTGCTCTCCTGACCGAGCAGCCTCTGTAGTGTGCACTTTCCCTAGATTCTGGAGGTCAGAGCAGAGATGTGCATGCCATCTGTCAGGGGTGCTTGGGCTGTCTGTAGGGCACACAGTCTGGCAGGGCCTGTGAGCCTGCTAACTGACAGATAGGGCATGGTTGGCTGTTGGGGTCCATGTGCCATTACTTAGATCTCCTGCCCATTTTCTTTGCTCTTGGCTTTCCCTGGGTGGTCTATAGAGTTCTGGATATTTCCTTCATGTTGAGGGTGAGGTGAGATAGAGGGAGGCCTCCCAGGAGGACTGGGAAACAAGAGTGGCCTTTTGCTTTTCCTTCCCTTCACGAAGAAATAAGCCCAAAGGTCTCTGACCCTGGACAGCACTGGGAGAGGCAGTGAAAGTGGATGGAAACTGCCTTTCTTTTGCTTTTCAATGGAAAAGTCTTTTACTATTCTGGGGACTTTTTTTCTAGCAGGTTTTTGAAACTCTTAGCTGGACTCTGGATCTGAAACAAAAGTCTTATCATCTAGAGATGGTTGTACAATTGCTGTTCTAGGGGAGGACAAGAGTTTGGTTCTCTTTATTAAGCCACCTTGCTTGCTGGTGTCAGCCTTCAATATTTTTATTGTTTTATCAGTTTTGTTATTGTTTTAATTTATCTGGTTTGTATTCATGACAGCAATTTTATATCAAGAATAGCAAACTCTTCTCACCATTCACATCTTGAGTCTTTAGCTAAGTTATGGATCTTTCTTGATATTTTTCTTTCTGTTGACCTGGCAGCCCTCTCTTCATATTCATATTTTATATTTTCCAGTCCAGAAGTAGGACAATTTTTCCACAGATGTCCTCTAATAATTATGCTACGCCAATTCCAACTGCTCCCATGATATATGTCACAAATCTGTGCTCTCTACAATTATTTTCCTTTGAGCATGGCCCTGCAACACCTTTTTCTTCTAGTCCTTCAGTGTCACCGAGTACTGTTGCTCTTTTCTGATCAGAACCAACCTCTTTGCTGTGTGAAATAGAGTTCAGGTTCATGCTACCAATGCTAAGCATCTATAGACTTTGTATATTCACTTATTTACTCCTCTGTTTCTCTCTTCAAACAAGTACACACACACACACACACACACACACACACACACAGACACACATCATGGGTACTTTGACTGTAAAGTCTGCAGTGATGGCCTCTTTCAATATTTATACTTTAACTAAAATACTATTTTATTTTAATGGGGGATTCCTGTGCTGCATCACATTATCTGGGGAATTTATTTTCAATTTTCTGAAGATAGAAATTCAAGACTGTGTCTTTTCTTACCTGGAATTGATGGTTTGTTACCTGATGTCCCCAAACCAGACGGTCACCCCAAATACCATCACTCATGTCCTCATCTGGCTTTAAACTCCTTTCAAATTCTATTGTAGAAACTTTAAATTCAGTTGTCAGATGATAATAGGAAAGGGCACCTCTCAGCTAATTTTCCGATATTGTTAGATTTCTTCTGTATTTTTAGTCACACACACACTTTTAGGTATGTATACTTAAATTTTAATTAATATAGAAAATTAGAAATAGTTTAAATTTCTTCCATAGCAATGAAAGATGAGTAAAAGATCATTAGTTATTAAATAACTAATTAAAATTAAATAATACAAAACACAGTGATACTCCATATTAGTCTAATATTTTTCAATGACTTCTTCAAGTGTCTGTCATGGTTCACCTGTATCCCTAGTTTCTGTCCTGTCCTCTTTCATTTCCTCCAGCAGCCCTTCAGCTGGTCCCCATTCTTTTATGCCACCACACACACATTGTTGCATCATTTCCTAAACTTACTATTGCAGACTAAATGGAAGGGCAACAAAGACATTTTTCTAAGTGCTTTATCTAAATTGCCTTACCTTTTATATGCCTCCATAAAATACTTTATTACACCACATTATTTTGTTCCTGACATTGTAAATAGTATATTTACATATAATAAATTGATAGTGGATTCTTGTTTATCTGTCCTTTTCTAAAGTCCATTTTTTCATACATGCTACTATATTCGTCTGATCTCTATAAGTGTTTGACACATGAGTGTACTAAAATCGTATTTGTAGTTAGATTAGTTGAAATAATTATGCTTTACTTTGATTATTTCAGAAATAGGATGTGTTTGAATTTATATATAGTCAATTTTAAATTAAGACTGTAATAATTTGATAACTTTTGACACTGGTTCTACATTATATTACTTAATGAGTAAATTAATATACATATCAATAACATATAAAATTAAATCTGCATAAAATGTTCACTATAAAAAGTATTAGAATATAGAAATGATTACTTTCCATTTGTTTTCTTCTTATGTACTGATTTTCCTTTGCATTTTTACTTTAGCTTCCAGATGGCATAAGTTTGGAAGGATTTTCAGTTATGATCGCACAACTTCTTGGCCTTAATATTGGATTAACATACGATGACACTCATGCTTGTTCTTGTCCAAGAGCTACGTGCGTAATGAGTCATGAAGCAGCGTAAGAATTTTTCTGAATTAATTTCACATGTAGTTTTAGGAGGTTTTACCAAGATGTGGCGAATTTCAAAAATCTTTTATTTTCCTCAGTATATCACGAGTTGGAAAGTTATATGACACATGAAGAGACATTGTACAAAACTTTTTCTATGTGAAACAAGTCTTCAAAGTGATAGACCATCTTATTAAGAACTTTTGCTCAAGATAACTATATGGATATATTTATTTATTTATTTTTAATCTTTCATTTATTTATTTATTTGGTACTGGGTCTAGCTACACAGCTCAGACCCATTGTGATGCTCCTGTCTCAGCCCTAGGATTACAGGTGTGTTCCACCGTGCCTGCTTTCGGTGGCTGGCTCAGTGCCTAGGCCTGGCATGGCATATGGGGATCGAACCTGGGTCCTTGCACTTGCCAGGCAGACACTTAGACCACTGGGCTATATTCCCAGGCCTATATGAATATATTTGAACCTTGTAAAAACTATGTAATATTGAGAAACTATATGATGCTATTGCTATATTTTGTTGTAGACTTTGTTGCTGGGTACAAAGTTGACTAGCATAATCCTTAAAATATAACATTGTCCTGGCACATTTGACCAGTGACTTGAGGGAAAAGACAAGGAGGAAGGGATTGGAAGAGGGGAAAAAAGTCCTTAATTTTCACATGTTATGATAGTCCTCCTGGAAGAGTCAATATATAACAAGGCAACAATAATATAAAAGTTCATTAGGGTGGATGAATCTAGAAAAACCAGTAATGTGTGCACACTAGCACTAAGCAAATGAGATGAGTTAATTTACAATTATAAATTTTCAGTATAGGTTTATAAACTTAGCATAATTCTGAAAATATTCATCCTGTTTTTAAAAGAAAATTGACATTCTATGGGAAGTGTAGAGGTATACAGTCTGATTACTGGAGGCATAGAAACAAAGCAGACTTCTTGTGATGGGAAGCTGAGAGCAAAGAATGTAAAGCCTTTGATAGGAGGGGTAAAGCAATTGTCCTGGAGACCGGAAAGTGGAAATGATTTAGGATAAGATTGTCAAGCATTATGAAAATGCACTTAGCACTTGTGATGACAAACTCAACATCATGGCTTTGATAACAAACTCAATATCATTTGCTTTGATGTCTTCAATTTCAGCTTCCAAGTTACATATCCAAAGCAAAAGAGAATTAAGGTTTTGCCAAGGTAATGCCCATAGCATGCAGAAAAAGGGCTGTAGTGGAATCTGTTTTCTCCAGAAATGAGCACATTTCAATTTTTTCCTTCCACACATTTGGAACTATGTGTGAGAACTCAGTGTATTTTGCCCACCTTATTTTGATTATCTGCAGGCCACTACGAAAGTACTTCCCATACAAAGTGAATCAGTTAACGTTCTGTTCAGGTGCCTCATGTCTATTACAGTTACATATATTTAGGTGTCAATTATGTAGTTGTGCGCACAAGACTGTTCATTAACAACTGGCCAGGCAAATATACCAGTAGTCCCATAGGAGAACTCCACTAGGTGACCTTAGTTTGTGTGAATGCAAACACTAACTACTGTGAACTGTGACATTTTCACAATGACCAATGCCTTTCTCAGAATGCACTGCATTGTTAAGTGCTGCATGGTCATAATATCTTCTCCATCCATCCACAGCAGGCTTGTGTTCTCAGCCATCTGCTGTTCCAAATAACAGTACCACAGATAAGGAAAGTTTTACAGAAAAGAGCTTTATATAGACTCACAGTTCTGGTTCAAGTTCTAAAGGACTCATTTGTAGATGACCTTCATGCTGGCCACAGCAGTCCTGAGGCCACCAAGGTGCCATGTGAGAAGAGAAAGTGAGAGCTGTGCCCCCTCGAATCTTTCTCATTCTTTGACAGTATCCAGCCACGGTGGCTGCGCTCTGCTGAGTAGCTGACTTTGTCACCTCTTAAGAGCTCCACTTCAAATAAGACTAAATTTCTAGTCTATGCATTCCATAAGGTACAAAAAAGAAATCATTGCAGTCCATCAGAAATGCATTTTCTGGAAAATGTTAAAGTTAATATTAAAATTTTAGTTAATTTAATCTACTAAAGTCTAAATTTTGTTTTGCTTAAGCCGTGTTGTGGCTCTTATGACTTATATATGGAACAGTGTTTAGATATTTTTAAAAGTATATTTATCTGAGGAATATTATTGCATTTCAGGAGTTCCAGTGGTATCAAGATATTTAGTAACTGTAGCCTGAACGACTATAGGCATTTTGCTTCAGAAAGCTGTTTTCACAACTTTTCAAATTTGCAACTTGTTTATCCAAATCAATCAGTGTGTGGCAATGGGATTTTGGAATCTGATGAAGAATGTGACTGTGGTAATAAAGGAGTAAGTGATGAATAAAGAAATCTGAGCACAATTTTACAATTCTAATAAGACATTAGAATTTCAGAATTCTAATGAGCCACCAATGCAATAGTATGTGCAACTACTGAAACCTGAAAATGAGCACGAGTTTCAGGACTCGCTGCCCACACCTCTTGACTTGAGAAGATCAACGTGGCCTGAAGTCTTGGGTTGCATAGCTACTACAAATCACCCCCAAGAATACCTATTGAGTACATAGGCTAAATCAATGTTTTTCAGCCATGATTCAATTTATAACTCATTTGGTCTCATTTTGTGTATTGTGTACATGCATCTCTGCTAATGTTCTTCCAAATTTTTCCCTGACCCTTGCAACACTTTTCGCCATCACAATGGTTTTCTTCAATCATCACACACATTCCTGTATTACAAAGTTTTGGATGATCAAAAAGCTTTTTCAATTTTCTCGTTTCCAAATATAGATGTTCAAACAAATTTGTAACAGTATTGACAGGAAAGACCGCATATTTAGTTTATTATAAATATCATTGCTGTATAATACTTAATAGCTCCCTTCTATTTAAAGAAAATAGCTTCATGATTTACCATAAAGAGTGATCCCATTCTTGTGGAGAATATTTACTAGTGCACAATATATCTTAATTCTTTTTTTCCTATCCTCTTCCCCTCTCTTCTGCTCTTCTTCCTATATCAATTTACAAAGCTCTGTTTCCTTTTTTCTTTCCATTCTCTCTTATTTTTAAATTTTTTTACGTTTCTTTCCTTTTCTTTTCCTTGTTTTCCCTTCCTCATTTGAAATGTTCAGTCTTCTTTTTTATATCTATCTTCTGATTTTTTTCTTATATTTTAGGTATTAAACCTGTGTGTCTAATGTATTCCACTTAAGATTATGGTATTGGAATGTATATTCATTTATAAAAAAATGTCTTATTTATTCTTTGTGGCTGAGTAGTATGCCATTGTATACAAAACCACATTTTTTTATCCATTTGCCTGTTGATGGGCATATGGGCTGTTTTCAAGTTTGAACTATTATAAATTGTGCTTCTGTAAACAAAGATATGCAGTTATCACTGTGTATGATGCTTTTGTCTCTTTCAGGAAGATATCTAGAAGCAGAATGGGAAGGTGAAATGAAACTTGTATGTCTTAATAACATTTGCCATTGCTGAGACAAAATGCCCGACACCCAAAATTAAAGGAAAAGTTTATTTGGCTAGTAGATTGTAAAGGTCTTAGTACATAATTGCCTCATTTGAAGGTAGGGTGGCAGGCAGAGGGCCAGAAAATAGCAAAGTATTGAGGTGGTAGTTTCCTGCCTTCACTTTTCACCCAGGCTCTAAGCTTTTCCTGGTGGTGCCACCCCACATGGGCCGGGGTCCCTGTAATGCCAACATCACACCATTATGCTGCACTCACACCCCCTAAATCCACCATCCTTTGTGTAGAAAACCCAAAAATTCCTTTTAGAACTAATAAACAAATTCAGCAAGGTGGTAGAATACAAAATCAACACAAAAGTCAATATTGTTCCTGGATATCAATAATAAAGCAGAAAAAAGTATTAGGAAAACAATATTATCTATAATAGCATCAGGAAATGTTAAATGATTAGAAATTAACCTAACAAAGGAAATGAAAGACCTCTATAACAAAAACTATAGTACTCTGAAGCAAGAGACCCAGGAGGCCATCAGAAAATAAAAGACAAGGATGGGGAGATAGTTTGGCGGTCTTAAGGTGCCTGCCTGGCAAGTGCAAGGGCCCAGGCTCAATTCCTAATACCAAATGTCATGCTGGCTCAGTGCCAAACATGCTACCAAAACTGAGCATGGTGGAGCACACCTGTAATCCCAGTGCTGGGGAGGCTGAGACAGGAGGATCACTGAGTCTGAGCTCCATAGCAAGACCCTATACCAAATAAACACATAAATTAAAAAAAAAAGATTTAAAAAAAGAAAGAAAGAAAATAAAAGACACAGATCTAGGAAAACAGGAGCATAAGCCCCTGCCTGGCAAGAGGAAGGTCTTGAGTTTGATCCCCAGTACAAAACAAAACAACTAAACCAAACCAACCAACCAAACAAAAACCCCCAAAACACCTTTGGCCCTATATAAGCAGAACCAAAATTGTCAAAATGTCCATAGTTCAAAATTGGAGATAGACATTTAATGCAATACCAATTAAATTACCAATGATATTCCTCACAGAATGAGAAAAAGAAATCTTAAAATTCATATTGAGCAAGACCAAAAATAGCAAAAGCAGTGCTGGGTAGCAGCATGAAATCACGCAGCCTTGTAACCCCAGATGTCACATTATATAACAAAGTTACAGTGGTAAATGTCGCATGGTACTGGCTCAGAAAATAGACATGTGGGTTCTTGGAACAGAAGAGAGGAGGCAGAACCAACCCCAGCCATGTTCAGCCATCTGATCTTTGACAAAGGGATCCAAAGCACCTGCTGGAGGAAAGACAGCCTCTTTAACCAATGGTGCTGAGAAACTTGGTGTCCATGTGCAGGAGACTAAATCTAGATTCTTACCTCTCACCAAGTACTAAATGAAAATGAAAATGGATTAAAGACTTACATATTAAAAAATAAAAAATTAGCCTACTGGAAGAAAAAATCAACACAACTCTTAAAAACACAAGATAGGCAAGGAATATCTGAACAGAGTCCTAATTACATAAGAAATAAGAATCAACAAATAGAATTATATAAAATTAAAAAGCTTCTGAGTAGCCAAAGTTGTCACTGACTGAGTGAAGAGACAATCTACAGAGAAGGAAAACTTTTACCAGCCCCTCCTGAGATAGAAGACTAATACTTAGGATACATGAAGAAGTAAAAAATTAGACACCCCCAATAAAAGATCCAGTCAAAAACTGGTCAACTGGACTAAAGAGATATTTGTCAGAAGACAAAGTACAAGGGACCAATATACATAAAAAAGTTCAACATCCCTGGCCATTACAGAAATGCCAATAAAACAACACCGAGGTCTCTTACTGTAGAAATAATGGCTAATACCAAAAAGCCAAGTATTAACAATTGTTGCCAAGGACTGAGGGAAAGAGGAATCCTTCTCTACTGCTGTTGGGGATGTGAACTAGTAAAACACCATGAAAATTACTGTGGATCATGAGGCAAGATGTCACAGCAACAGAGAAAGAAGCCCTCCGGGGGCTGCCCTCCAAATGCTGGAATACGGCAGACTCAGGCAGCAACTGAAGCGTGCTTGGAGCCCGTGGAAAGGCAGAAGAGAGAAACTTTAATGAAAAAGGAGGCAGCAAGCGTCATCTTCTCCCTGAGATGAGAAACACTGAATGAAGTGGAGGTTCAAACCTGCAGACACATGCCCAGAGCCAGTAATGACCCAGGCCTCCACGGAGAGATGCAGCAGCGGAGGGGAACAGCAGACGTGTCACGAAGGACTGCGCCAGCTGCTGGCGAGTAAGGAGGATTCAGCTGTCCTACGTGAGAGGGTGATTTTGGCTGGGACACATCCTGGAGAATGACCCAGAGAGCTTAGAATTCAGACTGGTTTCAGGCTTCACCTAGCGGCTCCCAGCTGGGCTCTGGCCCATGGAAGGTGTGCTGATGGCTGCAAGCCACCAGAGGGCGCAGGCTTGCTGTCCTTTGGGTAAATGAATACAGACTGGGACGTTGCCTACAAAACATTGTTTACAAGTGACAACAGAGACAAACCTAGATGTGTACTTTGGTTATGTGTTTTTTTGGTTTGTTTGTTCTTGTTTTAACCTCTGACTTTTTTGAACTTTTACTTTTTTTCATTTTCATTTGCTTTTTCTTTCTTTTCTTTGTCCTTCATTGTTTGAAGCTGTGTTAATGTGAGTTTGAGCATGGTATCTAGCCTCTTTGTGGTTGTGGTTCTGTTCAGTTCTTCTTTTTATCTCTTCCTTTTCTCCCTCCAGTCTCCTATACCAGTTTCTCCAAGTTAACCTGATTCCCTTTGTCCTCCAGCCTGCTAACCTCTTCCTCCTTTCTCCCTTCTCTATTTTCTCTCTAACTCATTTTAAATTTTAACTCCTGCAGGTGCAATTGACATACTAAGGACTTGTATACAATTTTCTGGTTTGTTTCAGCCTTTTTTATATAAGCACAAATGTAGTTCATATGGTTAAAGGTGGCAAATTTGGTTACTTTGGTTTGTAATTTTCTAAGCTGTGCTTTATATTATTCATATTAGTATAACTATAAACAAAAGTGACATAATTGTTTAAACAGCTGTTACAAATATTACTCTTGGAATTAAACTAAAACAAAAAGAAAGGAAGAAAAAATATGAGGAGACACTTAAACAAGACAATCCCGAATATCACCAAAGGCAAACTCAGGAAGCAATGAGGGAAAACAATTTGAAAACCACCCATCTGTCTTTCTGAAGTGGTAACAACAAAGTGATAGAATGAGACTCTAGAAAAAAAAATCATAAGTAATTGTTTAGATAACTTCAGAGATAGTACCCACAATGAAAATGGTGCTTAGTGATTCTAGAGAAGATACAGACAAGAAAACACATGAGCCAAAAAAAACTATGGAAACCAGGAAGACTCAGCATAGGAAAGAAATGGAATCCATAAGGCAGATTCAGGCAGATTAACGCAGATACTTAGAATGAAAATTCTATTGGAATATTTGCAGCAGATTAAGTCAATGTGAGGACAGGATCTCAGATATAGAAGGCAGGCTTACATTTAGTGACCATGAAAAGATTTCCAAACACCAGCAAGAGACCATGAAAAAATCAGTACAATAGCTGCTAGATGAAGCAAAGAAGAATAAACTAAGGTTAATTGGAATTGATGCAAAAGCACACAACAGCACATGTGAAATTGAAAAATTATGCCCAGACCTCATGGCAGAAAGCTTCCCTAGAAGAGAAAAACCTTGACATACAGATAATTGAGGCATGTAGAACTCAAGCCAGGTATGACCAAACAATCAAACTGATCATGACCTCTATAGCAAGGCAACACACTGTAGACAAGATCCCAGAAATTCAGCACAAGAATAGAATACTAACAGCTGTTAGGAAAAAGAAGAAAATCACCCATAAAGGAAAGTCCATCAGAATCACAGCTGATTTCTTAACACAAACCCTCATGTAAAGGAGAGCTTGGAGGGAGACATTTCAAGCTCTAGAGGAAAACAAACTTCAGCCCAGATTTATGTGCCTTGCAAAACTTATTTCAGAACTGATGAAGAAAGAAGTTAACTCCATGGTAAAAAACAGCTGAGGACATTTGTGACCACAGAACCAGCACTCCCAAATACTTTGAAGTATGTTCTAGAAAGAGAAAATAAGAACTATAACCCAATACGCCTCAACAGAAGGAATTCACCAGGCAAGACAAACAAGAAAATGGAGGGAAGAAAAAAAAGAGGAGAAGCTATCAACAGGAAAATAAAATGACAAGGATAAATCAATATATATTAGTTGTAACCATCAATGTTAATGGCCTCAACTCACCAATCAAAGGACACAGACTGGCAGAATGCATCAAGAAGCACGATCCCAGAATATGCTGCATACAAGAAACACATTCAAAAAGAAATTCATAGACTGAAAGTCAGAGGATGGATAGCAATACCCCATGTGACAGGAACTCAGAAAAAAGCAGGGGTAGCTATTTGCAGACAAAGTGAATTTTAAGTTAAGACTGATTAAGAGAGATAAAGAAGATCACTACATCCTTGTAAGTGGAAAAATCCAAGAGGAAGAGATACCAATCTTAAATTCATATGCAACAAATACCAGTGCATCAAGCTATATAAAACAAGTATCAATGGGCATTACAAATCAAATAAGCATTGCTATAATTGTATTGAGGATTTCAATAACTTACTGTCACAAAAAGATAGATCAGCTAGACAGAATTCAACAATAGAAATAATAATAGGACCAAAATAATAGAATCAAACCAAACTTTTAAACTAATGGGCTTAGTAAATGTCTTCAGAGTGTTACACTACAGCATGAAAATACACATTCTCCTCAGCTGCACACAGGACCTTCTCCCAAACAGACCACATACTAAGCCATAGGACATACTTGAGTAAATGCAAAAGAATTGAAATTATCACACATATATTATCAGACCGTCGTGCAATGAAATTGGAGATCAAGGGCAAAAGAAACCACAAGAACTTCATAATCCCATGAAAATTAAGCAGCACCTTCTTGAACAACCAATGGTCACAGATAAAATTAAAGAAGAAATTAGACAGTTTATACAATTAAATGACAATAACAATACAACAAGCCAGTACTTCTCTACTATACAAAATGATAAATTTGAGTAATTTTGGGGAAAAGAATGCACCTTAACATCATAATGTCAAGTGAAATAAATGAAAAACACAAGTTTAGACATTGTGGGTTTCTGTTATGTAAGAAATCTAAAGTATAAAGGGTAAAATATAAGACTATAGAAAACAGAAAAATATGTCACATGTTTCATATACATATGCTAACTCCCCATGATTAATGTGATCTTTATATGCTACAAGTATGTACTAACAGAAATAGTACTTTAAAAACAAATCAATAGTTTTTACTTCTTTCAGAGTTTATCAAACCACGCCAGGTGCTACTATAAGGTATTGTGGGAAATAGGCACTCAGAAAATGATTTTGAAAATAAATCTTTTGCTGGCTAGATCATAAGATGTACTTTCTGCTAGTTTGGGGACATTTGAATAGATGCCATTCAGAAATGAAGCTATAGATTCCTCTTAGTTTCCTGGCCATGAAGTGGCCCCCGTGAAGGAGGAAAGCAGCCTCATGCTGCCTGAAGGCCTCAGAGCCTGCTCCTGACATGGACACTACAAGATGATGCTTCATCTCCAGAAGCTCTGATCTGGTCTTGCTTCATTGCCTCTAGAGCACTAATTTGTGTCAAATGTAAGGATCACCCAAGTGAGAAGATAGCTTAGTTGTAGATAAAGGGCTATTTTTAAACTTGTGGGATTTTCATATTGTGCATGGGTGAGAGTATGGAGAAGATGCTGGGGTGGATGATAAGGTCACTGACTCTAAGTTGTTATTTTTGGATGAAGGACGTTTGCTGGTGGATAAGGATTTCAAAACTTGGGAAGCAAATCTAGAGCCAGTCTTAAGGGACTGTTGAATGTGTACTTGAATATAGGAATCAATCTGGCCTACATTAAGTTAGGTAAAGATCCCAGATTGACCTTGAAAGTCCTCTAAGGAAATGGTCAAAGTTCTAAACAGTAGCCTCCTGTGGAATCACAAAATTGTTGAAAATCTCAGCTGATCTCTTCTATTCGCTAGGGTCCTACACTGGACAGATCATGAAGATGATCTCTCTTCTATGTCACTAAGATCCTTGGATTCCAGAGCAGCAGAGGGCAAGTGGGAGCATTTAATATGTGTATTCAGAAGAGAGGCACAAATGGTGGCTAGTAGTGTTGCCCTGTGTGGATTAATACTTGTGGCTGAAGAAGATCTGGATAGGCCACCATGATGTTGTTTGATATTTCATGTGTAATTAAAAGTTTAAAAAGATGGATGCAGGACTGGTGCCATCTGCTACCAATGGAAGATCATAATCCGCTGTCAAATTTCTCAGAGTCTCAGCTTTTTGTTTACATGGAAGACAAAATCTTATTATGCTCCAGCAAAGATGAAAAGTAGTATTTCTTCAATCATTCCATCTTCCATGAATTGCCCTCTTCCCTTTTCTAGAACAATTCAAAAAATATACAGATCATCACAGGTGAATTGGATACAAATCTGAGCTCAGAGGGTATGCATAAGAGGGCCCCAAACATCACCCCATTTCCAGTAGCAGAATAGAGAGCCCAGGAAATTCCTGAAGTCTTAAAAAAATCCATCTGACAGCACGTTGCATGGATTTATTATCTTCCCTTGTTGTCATTTCACAAGTCCTTTAATGGCAGCTTGGAGTAGTGTGCTATGACCTCAGTAGGCCTTCATAATGGCCCCATAACCTGTATAGTAAAAGCACTAAGATGGTAAAGGTCAAGTGGAAACACATGGAATCACCAGGCTAGAAATCAAGACTAATATGTCTTGAATGAAAAATAAAAGGAGAAATTAGTGAATAATTTGAACCACATAAAAGTGAAATGAAATGACAACCAAGGCGTCACAAAAATATTGTATGAAGAATCTGTGCTATCAATTGTGATGTCAGGGGCCCCTGACACCATCATGGTCAGCAAAGATTATGTATCCAATCATCTTGCACATAAATGTAGATGCCTTATTTTATTTTTCATTTTTTAAATTTTGGATTGAAATCTTTATCACTTCCTAACCATGTGCACATTCATGTTCTTATATGCAGAAATAGAATTAATACTACCACATTTTTATGATTATCCTGAGAATTTAAGGAGATAATGTAGCTATTAACATTTATGAGGGGGCTGGGGAGATGGCTCCGTGGAATAAGTGCTTCTCTGGCGAGAGCAAGGGCCTGAGTTCAATCCCTGGTTCTGCAAAAAAAAAAAAAAAAAAATTATGAGATGAAAAATTTATTCATTCAAATATATACCCACAAAAATAAGAAATGCAAATATGTGCTTACTCAAATAAAATAATTATATTCTACTTTTAAAAATAACAACTCAGAGATCTGCCTAATTCTCAGCATGCTGTATCATTCATGTTTGGTTCTTACCAAAAGCCTTCTTAAAATCCTTGTAAAACTGGTTGTTCTCACTTTTAAAATTAATTTTATTGAGAAACAAATAGCAATGAGACAGTTTCAAAACCAGTTAGTAGGACAATTTCAATAATTAATACATTGCATATTATTTTCATAGTGGTTATTCATAGCACAAGATACAGACATGATATCCTGTCCAAACACTTTTAGTACAAATCTTTCTTCTCATTGAATTAAGAGAAAGTAGCTATATATCTGTCTTAACTCTTTTGTATATACAGATACAAAATGGTCCTTCATTTATATTCCTTTTTTTGTTTAGTTTTGTCCGAAATGGGTATTCCATTGCCATTCAAATATTGTAGATGTGTGAATTCAGCAAAATATTCAAATATAGTCCAGCAGTCCATAATAATAGTGGGTTATCATAGGTGATTTAGAAAGTAAACCAATGACTAGAGTAGCCACTACTAGCACTATTAAAGGAACAGAAGACACAGGACTATACATTGTATTTCATTATACTTCTTATATTCATGTTTCTTCATAATCATAAAAATTAAAAAGCAAATGCCTAACAAGACAATTTAAGAATGTGCATGTTCCTCATGGAAACCTGTATTTTTCCCTTGAGATATATTTCCATATTAGTACTTTTTAAACTTATTTCCTAATATTTTATCTAGTATTACTAACAAGCTGCTCATTTACATGCTATTCCCTTTGATTTCACAGTTATATACACCTTTGAATATTCTAAAAACAATAAGATAGTAAACCTTAAATAAATATGTTCTTATGAAATAAATTGAAGTTAGTATTAAGTTTAATTTAGGATCAAGAAATATGACCCCATAAGTGCTTGAACTGAACTATTATAATTTCTTCTTTTGATATTTTAGGAATGTCAATTTAAAAATTGCTGTGATTATAAAACATGCAAACTGAAAGGCTCAGTAGAATGTGGCTCTGGACCATGCTGCACAACAACATGTGAGGTAAGTTGTCAACATTCACGAAAAGAAAACTGAACACAGTCAGTAGAAGGCTGAATTGGCTGAATCAGTGCGGAACCAATACAAAAAGAATGAAGAAACAATTAAATGAGATAAAGTGCAGAATGTATCAGCAAATACAGGTATATACGGAATGTTGCCATGAAATAAAGAAGGCATCTCAAATCGGTACTGATTATGCTATAGTGTTGAAATCACCAAGTGTAACATCTTCTAAGTTATTTTTGTTGGTGATATAGAATAGTGAAGTTCATTTGTGGAACTTAGTTCATGCATATAACATATCTTGTTCATTATCAGTCACACAACATTACTCTTACTTTTCCTCCCCCTTTGAGCCCTTTCCTCACCTAGTTTTTGGTCATCTTTATTGTATTTGTGTATTTACTTATGTTGGTCTCTGATATAAGATAAAACTTGTGATATTAAATTTTATATGTCTAGTTTATTTCACTGAAAATGTCTGTCCAGTGCCTTCAATTTTTCCTATGAGTGACACAATTTCATTCTTCTTTATGGCCAAATGGTATCCTATTGTGTATATTTTTCCTTTTCAATATTTTTTTCTTAGTCATATTTGTTATACAGATTAATGATTTCCATTTTGGCAGGCATGTATGTGCACATAACCTATTTTGATAGTTTTCATCTCCTTCTCCTTCTACATTGTACATACATAACATATTTCATTAGTTGACACTAATAAACCAAAAATACTTATATTCAAATAAAGCATAAGTGAAAAAAATGATCATGAAGAAATGGTACCATCAATTGCTAATAAAGCATGCAATGTGTATTATATGCAAAAAGTCACACATTCATAAGTGAATGTTAAATTAGACACATGATAGAAACAAAAATATTGCTTGGAATCGTTTCAGAAAGATTGTATGCTGTACAAAAATTAGCAAATGTGGGCTAAGTATACTAATATAATGTACCATGTAATATCTCCAATATAATAAAGTTGGACAGGAAACCAAGGTTCGTAATATAAAATTTTGATTCCACTTCTGGAAAAATCCTCTATCTCATGTAGTTTTCCCAATTTTACCTTCACAGTCTAATTTAATACAGTACGATTTTGTTAGCAAGGCTTCTTGTGGGTTGTAACTGAAATTCTCCAGCTTTCAGCTATATCATAATCAAGAGTAAGTCAATCCATCACCTTGCGAAAGTCTCCCCCTCTACCTTTTTCTTCTCACCCCTCTACCAACAAGTCCTGTTTTCAGTCTGTATGATTTTGCTGTCATAAAAGCATCACGTAAATTGAATCATATAATAGGTTTAAGTATATGAATTAAGCAAAAGGCATTTTAGATTAATTCATGTTGTAGTACTTAGCAGCTTATTCCTTGTTCACTGCTAGATAGTACTGGAAGTATTGTAACTACCTGCCATGCTTTATTATTCTACTCTCCAGTTGAGAGATGCTAGGGTCATTTTCAGTTTGTGGTAGTATCTTAGTTACTTTTTCATGGTTGAACCATGGTACTGGTAATCAGAAATTAATGGAGGAGATTAATTTTAGCTCACAGTGTATAGAGGGTTAAGCCCATGGTCAACTGGCGCCAAGGCCATTCAGCACGGCAGAGAGATAATGGCACATGACAAATGGTCCAAGGCATGGCGGGGAGGAAGCAGCACAGCCTCCTTCTACTTTGCCTTTTTATTTTGTACAGGCTACAAGCCTATTGATTGCTGCCACCCACACCCAAGTTGGGGCTGCCCTCTTCAGTAAATCCATCACTTACATCCAGAACTGTGCTAAACCAATCAATAGCCTAATCCAGTGTCACAAACCCTTAATCCTATATCACATCTGTAATCCAGTCATCTTCCAAAAGCTCCACCTATGAGCACATGAAACCTTGGAAGAACTTTTAGATATAATCCATAATAAGGAATGAAAATGTACCTACTATAAACAATATTCATCAATAGATTGTGTCTCAGTGTGGTGTTTCTTAGTGCAATAGTTTGAACAGGGGCTACTGGATGATACAGAAAATGAATATGAAAATTGGAGAATTATTTTTCAAGGTAACTGTACTATCTTTAATTCCTACCACCTACTTATGAAATTTACAATGGATTGCAAATTAAATTTTTTCATGTAGTGAATAGATCTTATAAGAGAACCCTAAAATATAAAAGAAGAGCAAAATAAAAGACAATATGGTATAGGGAGATATATCTTTTTCAAGTGGAAGGGGTTTAAGAGATGGAAAAAAGAGAGAAGAGGAGGAAAAAGTGGTTAAAAACAAGTGAAATATATTTTGTATATGTACCACCTCTCCACAAGAAATGTAATCATTATGCAAGGCACACACATATGCTCATAAAAATAAAAAAACTAGAAAAAACACTCCTACATACTGTAATAACAAAGTACATTGCTACTGTTCTTGCTCTAAGTAATTTTTTTTAATATTTTGCACTAAGGAAAACAAGAAAAATTATACACACAGTTATTTATCACATTCATATGTCTCTTTATTTCATTCTGTTTGCTATTTTATTTCCCATACCTGAAAACTTTCCTTTATTCTCTTTTGTAATTTAGGTAAACCTGAAATGAGTTCTTATAGTTATTATTTATCCAGGACAGTCTTTATTTCTTGCTCTTAAAATATATACTTCCAGAAAACTGGCTCTCTACATGCCAAGGACTAAAACCATACCCATGTCTACCACCATGCCCTAAACTCAAGTCAAAATGGATCAAAGATCTAAATATTAAAACAGAAACACTAAATCTCCTGGAAAAGAAAGTAGGTAGAAATGTTGAAGACATAGGTGCAGGCTTAGAGCTCATGGGCAAGCCCCAGACCTCAGGGGAAATCCTTCAAAGGATCAGCAAGCAGAATCTCATCTGACCAAAAAGATGCTGCACATGAGAAGAAACACAACAGAGTGAAAGGCAAACAACAGAGTGAGACATTTGTTTTTTTTTTTTTTTTTTTTCCCAATTGTCCCTCAGACAAAGGATTTCTATCTTGAACATACAAAGAACTGAAAAAAAAAAAAACAAAAAACCGGATCCTACAAATTCAAAGACCCAATCCACAAATGGGCATTTGAGATAAATACACACTTCACAGATGAAGAAACATAAATGGCAAATAAATATGTGAGAAATACTCAACATCATTGGCCATCTTAGAGATGTAAATATTACATCTCACTCCAGAACAAATGACTATAATAAAAAATACAACCAATACCAAATAGTGGAGGGGCAGTGGGGGAAAAGGATCCCTTGTCCACTGTTGGTGGGAGTGCAGACTTTTGCAACCACTGTGAAAACAAGTGTTCAGATTACTCAGAAGGCTAGAGTTAGAGATCCTATTTGGACTATCTCTTCTCCTGCGTATCTTCCCAGAAGAATTGAAATATGCCATTGTGATATATGTGTAGTCATGTTTATAGTGGCACAGTCTGTCACAGATAAATCTTGGAAACAAGACAAATGACTAGTGACCATGGAATGTATAAAAAATATGGGGCTTGGGGCCGGGAAGATGGCTCAGTAGAATAAGCACTT